ATTACCAAGACAGAAAAAAACAAATGTTGGAGAGGATGTGGAGAAAAGGGAACCCTCATATACTGCTGGTGGGAGTACGAACTGGGGCAGCCACTATGGAAAACAGCATGGAGACTTCTCAAAAAATTAGAAATAGAAATACCATACAAGACAGGTATCCCACTGCTCAGTATTTATCCAAAGAACTTGAAATCAATGATCCAAAGAGATCTATGCACCCCTATGTTCACTGCAGCATTATTCACAATAGTCAAGACACAGAAGGAACCCGAGTGCTCACTGACTGATGAGTGGATAAAGAAAACGTGGTATATACATACAATGGAATACTACTCAGCCATACAAAAAGACAAAATCGTCCCATTTGCAACAACATGGATGGACCCCGAGGGTATTACGTTAAGCAAAATAAGCGAGACAGCGAAAGACAAACACCATATGATTTCACTCATTTGTGGAAGATAAATAAATACATGGACAAAGAGAACAGATTAGTGGTTACCAGAGGGGAAGGGGGTTGGGGGGTTGGCATAAGGGGTCCAGAGGCACATTTATATGGTGACTGACAATAACGTACAACTGAAATTTCACAATGTTATAAACTATTATGACCTCAATGAAATTAAAAAATTGTTATGCTTAGGGATAAATTTAACAAAACGTGTACAAGACCTGTACTCTGAAAACTTGCAGAGAGAAAGTAAAGAAAATAGAGAAATATAGTATATTTGTGGTTCTGAAGACTCAATACTGCTAAAATGTCAGTTCTCCCCAGATTGATCTATAGGTCAATCCCAACCAAATGCACTATACTCCTGGATGTGAAATGTAAAATTATGAAGCATCTAGATATTGACATAGAACATCTTCATAACCTCAATGTAGAGAAAAAACCTCAAATAAGACACAAAAAAGCAATAACAATAAAAGAAAAGACTGATAAACTGAGCTACATTAAAATTAAGAACTTCTGTTTATTTTTAGGCCATTAATAGAGTAAAAGGGCAAGCCAGAGTGGAGAAGATACATTTAAATACAATACACGTAACTGACAAAGGACGCCTATCCAAAACATACAAAGAACTCTTAGGACTCCATAAGACACAGACAGACAAAATGACAGAAAAATGCAAACGATGCACTTCACAAACATGAATGTTCAAGTAACCAATAATTATATGAAAGGATGCTTAACATCATCAATCACCAGGAAATATAAATTTCAGCCTCAACAAGATACCACTATATACCCATCATAATGACTAAATTGTTCTTTAATTGACAATATTAAGGGTCAAGAAAGGCGTGGCACAACAGGAACTCTCATACACTGCTGACGGGAATATAAACTGATACAATCACTCTGGAAAATATTTTAGCACTATCAATCAAAGCCGCATAAAGGCATACCTATGACCCAGCAATTTGACTAAAACAGTAACATGAGCACATGTACACTATGCTTAGTTTCCTAGGGCTGCCGTAACAAAGTACCACAAACTGGTGGCTTAAAACAACAGAAATGTATCGTGTCAAAGTGCTGAAGGCTAGAAGTCTAAAACTAAGGTGTTAGCAGGTCCTTATTCCTCCTGAAACCTATAGAGAAATCCTTTCTTGCCTCTTCCCGGTTTCTGGTGATTTGCTGGCAATCCTGCGCATTCCTGGGCTTGTAGATGCATCACTCTAATCCCCCATCTTCACATGTGTTCTCCCTTTGTCTCTTCACATGGCTTTCTTTTTATAAGGACACCAGTTATATCAGATTAGGGACCCAGCCTAATATAGCAGGACCTCATCTTAACTAATTACATCTGCGATGACCCTATTTCCAAATAAGGTCACATTCTGAGGTACTGGCAGTTAGGACTTCAACATATCTTGCTGAGACAATTCAGCCTATAATATATACCAAAAAGCATGTATGTACAAGAATATTCACAAAAGTAATTTTTCATAATAGCCAAAAACTACAAACAATCCAAATGTCTACCACCATTAGAATGGATTTAAAAAGTTGTAATATATTTATGTAATGGAATACTGGACAAATAAAAATAAAAGAACCATAATAACATGCAACAACTTTGATGAACCTCACAAATATAACATTGAACAAAAGAAGCCATTCATGAAACACACACTGAATCCATTTATATTAAAAATAAAAAACAGGCAATCAAAACTATTTATTTCGGGATGCATGTTTACATGATAGAAATGTCAAGAAAACAAGTGATTACCATAAAACTGGATAAGGGTGACCTCTGATCAGAAGGACAAGCATTGTGATTAGGAGGGGACATAAAGGAGCTTCTGGAGTATTGGTAATGTTCAACTTTACCTGCATAGTGAGTTACAGGGCTACAATGAGTTGTACTCTATTTTGTGTGCTTTTCTGTAAGTGATATTTTATAATAATTGTAGTTGAAAGAAAAGGAGCTTTGCTGGAAAAAAAAAAGTTGGAAAAACACTTGAAGTAAGTATGATAAACAGAGTTAATATCTTTACATGAAAAATTCATGCTTAAATAAGTGGAAAATAAGCAAAGTGTAATAGGTTATATGATATGTTACCTTTTGTCTAAGGAGAAATAAGAAAATATCTATTCATTTGTGCAAAAGAAATACAGTAAAGGTAAACTAGAGACTAGGTTGCTTCCTTTGAGGGGGTGGGTAGGAATGAGGTGGAAGAGACAGAAGAAATGAATGGAGGCGGGGAGGAGAGGCAGGATACTTAGAATCTCTTTTGGACAGTTCTGACATTTAGAACCATGTTAACATCTCACACACCCCAAAACAATATAACAACAAAACAGAAAGAAGTCAGTAAGAACGAGGGGAAAAGCTAAAATGGAAATCAATACAGAACCAAATGAACTAAACCGTCTACTGAATGAGTAATGTAACCACACTAAAGAGGGAAAAAAAATTAACCCAATTTTCAAACACAGTATCTGAACTATACATGTCCTCAAGTTAAAGACAAAAAGAACTCTAAGCAAATACTGAACTCTAATTAGGAGGTTTCTTTTCTGCAGAGTATGTCAGCAATTCTAAACTACTTTCTGTTATTCTAGGATTAAGCAAATAAGTAAAAATATTGTGGATAACGAGAACCAGAATACTCAGCAATGTGGAAGAAGAGTTACAAATATGGGAAAGAACAGAGTGCACCTTGTGGTGATGGACTGGAACTGGTAGTATCAGTGTGAAGTGATGGCTTTTAATATACATAGAATAGACAGACAGATACAGATGTGTGTGGACATACGTGTATTCACTCACACACATACGTATCTATTTGCTTAATTCTATCAGCTGAGAGAACCTAGAAGCAACGACACCCCAGTAGCTAATGAGCACACCTCGATCTTGATTTCCAAATGCATTCTCCACAAAAAGGAATTAGGGATCCTTAAGACAAATAGCTGACTCCAGGGTTGGGATGAGCCTGGAATACCTTATTGTGACAAAACATAAAGAAAATCTTCTATGAATGACAGAGTCATGTCAAAAGGACATAGGAATCAGCTTGAAGGGGCTCCCATTGGCCCAATCTGGGACAATCTGAGCATTAATATAAATCACGATAGTAAAGAAATATTACTCATTGAATAAAATAAGAATTCAGGAGTCCACACTAATATAAATAAATAAGTAGAGAAGAAAGGGAAGCTCTTCTTTATAGCAGAAAGTCAACTAATAAACTGAAGGAATGATAGAATTAGAAAATCATCATTTGGCAACCATCGTAGTAATAAATGATTCAGGCAAGAATTATCAGTGGATGCCAACTAGAGGGTAAAAGTTAGAGGAATAACAGGACATTTACAGAGCCTCAAACTATTTCCCCAACGAGATGCCTATAAATTACAAAAGGAAAAACAGTAACTTTATGGTGGAGTAACCTGACAGATACTACCGTAACCAAGTGATCCAAGTTAACATCACCGGACACGGGGCAAAGTGACAACATGTGCCTCCATAAGCATCTTTTCCATGGTATTCCTGACAAAAAGGCATGAGGTGAATTTAATCATGAAAATATATCAAAAAAACCCAAACTGAAAGAAATTTAACAAAATAACTGGCCTAAATTCTTTAAATTTAACAAGTCATGGAAAACATGGAAGATTCAAGAACTGTTCCAGATTAAAGCAGACTAAAGAGACAAGACAACTAAATCCAATGCATAATTCAGGACATCCTTTTGCTGTAAATGACATTCTTGACACCCTTGGCAAATCTGAATAAGATCTACAAGTTAAATAATAGTATCATACCAGTTTAATTTTCGTACTGTGGCTATGTAAGAGAATCTCCTTGATTTTAGGAAATGCACACTAAAGTACTTAGGGGAAATGGGCATTGTGACTGCAACTGACTCTCAATCTAAAAACAAAAGGTGTATATGTGTGTGTGTATTTTATATGTATATATACATATACATATATAATACAGAGAGAGAGAGAGAAATAGAAATTGACAGCAAGAGTTGAGAGAGAGATTAAAGAATAAAACAAATATGGAAAAATGTTAATATATGGGGAATTTGTGCAAAAGGTATATATGTAGGAATTCTTTGTAATATTCTTACAACTTTTCTATAAGCCTGAAATTATGTCAAAATAAGAAGCTAAAAGAAAAATTTTACACCATACAGATCAGACGTTTCACAAAAGCAAAAATCAAAGATGAGAACTTACCCAACCACTTAAAATAATAAAACACCATTTTTTGGCTACTTAATTAGCACTAGAAAACATAAATGACAATATTCCGTGGAAGCAAGGTTCTGGAGAACTTGGTATTTTCATACTTTGCTGTCTTAGTGATAAAAGGTCCAAGCCTTTTGAGAAAAACAACTTGGCAATATGGAGTGAGAGGCAAAAAAAAAAAGGACAGATTCTAGCAACTCTACTGCTAGGACTCGATCCTAAGGAAATACTAAATACTGAAAGTCATTATACACAAATGTAATCACTGCAGCCTTATTTAAAATAAAATATTGGGGAAAACCTAAGTATCACATGGGGAGAGTTTAAGAAAACATATGATTCACAAGAATTATTCAGTCACTAAAATAAATAGTCTATAAATACTAAACATGGAGAAGTGCTTACAACAGACATAATAATATGATAAAGCACAACTGTATGAAGAGAATAATTACAAACTGGTTTTAAAAACATCTATATACAGAAAAAGAAGACAAAATTCACAACACTGTTATAGCATTTGTAGGGTGATGGTATTTGGTGAGTGAGGTTGTTTTTACCTTTTCTTTATCTTTCAAGTTTTCAGTAACTTTATTATTTTAATACTGAGGAATAAGCAACTAATAAAAGAAAATAAGCTTAGATACCACTTTAACATTAATCCTTTGTGTTTACAAAGTGCACCTGGAAATATTTCAGAGAGAAAAATAAGGGGGAAAAAGTCATAATAAAGAAGTTTACGCAAATACCTTTATTTTGTTATATATATATAGCAGTACACACGTGAGTGAGGAGGCTGCTCAAGTCCAGTAGCAGAAAGGTCACAAAAGATACATAATATTCATATCGAAAGCATCAGGATCTTTACACCCTTCCTTAAAGAACAAGCACATTCTATACAAACGAGAGGGCTGTGACAAAGAATTCTAAAGTTCAAGAGCCTGTCACAGTAATGAGGTATAACGAGGGACAAGAGGAGTCCGGCAAGTTTCTCTCTCGTCCAACACTCACTGAAGTCTCATTCGTTTTTCAGGGGGGCCTTTAGTGCTCACCGTCTGTTGGGTGTTCTTTGTGGTCTCCTTCTCCTCAGATTTTACAGTTTCTGGTATAGGTTCTGCTTCTTTCTTTGTCTGATCCACTGGACATCAAAAACAGATATATTTTGGAGGGTGGAGGGATGAGATCAATTTAGACAATGTTTAATGTGAATGGTTCAGATTCTTTCAAATTCACTTTGAACTGCTTATCTCAAGTTCTAAATTCAGCTGTTTCAACAGGCAGATGTATAAGAACCCATTTACAAACCTAAAAGCGTGATAACCCAAGCAAATTTGTGATACTAGACAAAAACATATGACATTTAAATAAGACATTATGCATCAAGAAGATATATAATTATTCTATCCCAGTTCAACAGATAGTTCGATTCTTCTTTTCAATGTTGAAACAGAAGACCTTTCTTCACACTGAGATTTGAACTAAAAACAACCTCAAATCACCTCAGCTTCTCCACACCTCCTCAATACCTACTCTTCCCACTCCAATTCATCTTTTAAATACTAATATCATTACCACAAAAGCACCATCTTTTGCCAATTCAGCAGATCCCAAAGGTTAGGAGTAACAAGCTACCATGAGAGAGTCTAGATGCACAAAATGACCATAGCTCACCTCACAAGCTATAGGTATAGAGTTCAACAGGCTGTTTAGTCTTATTTCAAGTTTAATAAGAATATCAGAGGAACCATACCTGGGACAGGCTTTTCTCCAGACTTTTGCTGTAATTTTAAAAAAAGAGGGGGGGTTGGCGGGGGAGAAAGGGAAAGAAGAAAACAGAGCAGGTTAGCAAAGCTTTCTTCTTCTTGACTTCATAATTCTTTTTAAAAGTATACCTTCATTCAAATTATACTATAAATGACTTCATGAAGAGGTACTACTATTCATGTAACATAAAAAGTAAATGTATCATTTTCTACTTCTTATTCCCATTCCAGAAAAGACAAAAATCTCAAACTAGAACAAAAGAGTCAAACATAAAAACCCTTGAAGATCTACAGAACCCTTTGCCTCTGCACTCAGACTACAATGCTTTTCAAAAAGTAGCTAAGTAGAATCCAATGGGAGGGAATACTGGAGCCTTTCAAGACTCCAGAGGCTCATTTGCCTTGGAAGTATGAGCTATAAGAAAGTAGAACAAAATTTGGATGAACTCTCCAACTTTTCAAGTTGGCAGGTATGGGCAGTCGAGAGGAAAAAGAAGTATTCTTCTATAAAACATAACGCTTGTGGTGAGTATACTATCAGAAATCAAACTGCAGGGGGAAACGATGGGGGCACTAGGAGTCAGGAACAAGGTAAGATCCTCCATTCTGTACACCAGTTCTTTTACTTGACTGGGCCCTGTCATCTCCCTTTTCCCGTTACCTGAGTTAAATGCTTTAAAACACTTTCCTCCTCCTCCCTCCTCAAGGCTCACAACCTACCCCTCACCCTCAGCCAATAATGACTCTATTGCTTATGTTTTAAAAAAAAAATAAGGATGTCAATGCCCCAAGTTCCCTCTTATCTACCTTCAAACTTATTATACCTTTACATACATACATCTATATATACACACCCTCACACATATACATATATATAAAATACCTTTATATACTTCCCCGTCATCTCAGAAGAAAAGCGTTCTCTTCATTTTTAAGTTCAATGCCTCCATTTGTTTTCTGAATTTTTTTCTGAATTTACATGTCCTTCCTAAGCTTTCTTATCTATGCCTATGACTAAAGACTACAAAATTTTCTGATAGCACGTGTTCCAGATTCATGCTGCCATCTGCCTACTAGCCCACTCCAACTACAAGTTCTGGGAACCATTACACTTAGTAAGACCAAAACTGAGCTCCATTATTATTATCCATTGTGTAGAGAAGGTTAACATAGGAGGCCTAAGGCTGCTGTCCTTAGAAAGGCCAGCTTGCAAGGTTGACCCTTCGCTGGTGTCTAAAGAAAGTGAATTTTGGGAGAGTTCCCCCCATTCTCTAACTGATAATGGTGCCTCATCGTGCCTAGGTTGTTTGCAGACTACATTGTTTATACTGAATACCTGCTTTCCTTCAGGGAATGTGGAATTTTGGTACATGTTAGATAGATGGTACCTACATGACAAACTTCCCCAAAAGACCTGGGCACCAAGTCTCTAGTGGACTTCCTTGGGCAGAAGTATCACATACATGTTGCTGCGTTTTCACTGTTGAGAGAAGAGTGCCCTCTGGTGACCCTTCATGGGAAGAAGAGAGTATAAGGAAGCCTGACATGGATTCCTCCAGACTTACGTCTTTTTCCCTTATATCTGACTGGATATCCTTACTATGTCACTGTAATAAATCCTGTGAGTCCTTTAAGCAAATCTCTAAACATGGGTGTGGTCATGGGAACCCCCAACACAGCCACATTATCACATATCTTATGAATATACTAGCATTTAAACAAATAATTTTTCTTACTTTAAAACAGGAGAGGAAATACATGGCATAATGTTGAGGAAATGAGGAATTGAGAGGGGATATTCTTATACTGCTAGCACTGAACCATTTGAACTATATCAGACACTGGACTGTATCTGGACACTGAAATAATGTCATTATCTACCCTGTGCACACTGTCTAATCTTTTCTAGTCAATACTGTCAGACAAACTAGTAGGATATGGTTTGAGATGGGAAAATAGAATGGGGGTGCTTTCTAACAAAACTTCATCAGGTAATCTTGGGATAAATCTAGCAGAAGTAAATAACCCACGGTGTTCTAGCATCTTCTGAAAACAGCACTGAGAGGGCATTCATCATAAAAGGCTCTCAGGGCCTGAACTCCCATCACATCAGTTTTAGTGTACTTTCAGTAGTAACAAGAATTAAAATATAGAAAAAGGAGCTTCAAAGAAGCAGGCAGGACTCCACCAATATTCTCCTGAGCACCTCCCTATAGGGGCAACATCCCTAGGATCCAGAAACTCAACTGTTTAATACAATGGATAAGTAGGAGTAAGTCCTGAGCTACAAATGGTTCTGGGAGACACAATGGGGTAAAAAAAAATGGAGTTCAGAGGAGACTTCAAGTAGACCAAGAATCTATTTTCTTCTCTAGATCTGAGGAGAAATGTTTTGGGTAGGAGGGGCAAAGAAATCACTAACGGTTCTAAAGAGAGCCATCTTCCTCCTAGTCTGTTATATAGAGTTGGACACACTCTCTCTTTGGGAGTTGGCTTTGGCCCTTGGATGGTACAAAGAAAGGTGGAGTTCTGGAAAATGACAACTGAAGTGTGACTACGGCTAAACCTTTAAAAGAAAAATGTAAAAAATTCACTGCAATGATATGAAGTCTGCAACCTGCTTCTAAATAACTGGAAGGAAGTGGGGGAAGAAGAGATAAAACAAGATTGGCCATCTTTGATAATTGCTGAAATAGGGTAATGGGTACATGAGGGCTTCATTTTGAATTATTCTACTTTTGTATGTTTTTAAATTTTCATAACTTTCTATAAGGTAAAGTTTAGTTTGTTTGTTTGTTTGTTTTAAGATTCAAGAGAGTCTTTGAGCTTTCTACATTGTCCAGTCTAGCTCACCAGGATAGGATAGCATATGAGATTCAAGGCAGCACCTCTAGCCAGAAAAAAACAAATAGTCATCAGCTGGGGTACCTCAGAATCCAAACACAGCAGTAAGCTAACGAATATTCTGGAGGTTGGCCAATGAAAATAGAACCCCTAACAACTACATTTAAGCCAAAATCTGTTTCTTTTCCTATATTCCTATAACTTTGGTTAACAATCAACATCAAGTTGATTCTAGGCATGAAGCCTCAGAATCATCCTTAATTCCAATCTCTCCAAAGCCAACTACCAAATTTAGGCAGTCCTAACTCTGAAATATCTCTTGAATCCTCTCCTCTCTATGGCCACAGAATTAATTCAGGCTTTCCATAATTGAACCTCCTTGGCTCCAATTATTACATTTCCCTAAGCATCCTCTACATTGTTATTGCTTATTTTCCTAAAACACAAAACTAAGTACATTACTTCCTTGCAACTATTTTTAAATATTTAATGGGTCTCTACTGCCATCACCAATAATTCTCAGCTACTCAGTGATGAGGGTCTAGAAGATGCGGGAGAGGAAATCTCAGTATACTTCAAGAGACCGTGTATTTGAAAAAGAATATAAAAAAAATTACCACTGCTTTGGTTTGTCTTTAGTGATGACAGCTATTGTTTTAATGCTTCAAATAATTTTTAATATAGCTGGAAACCTGTTATATTGATGAGAGTGGTTATGGGTTTAAAATAGCAAATAAACACTGGACTATAGGATTAACCACAAACTCCTGTGTAGAGTATACAAAATCCTTCTCAATCCGAGCTTAATCCATCTTCTAAGTCTTTTATTTCATTACTCTTCCCCTCCACAAACACACAGAGTAAACCTCCAGAGTATTTTCTGGCTTCTTTCTTTGTTTTTTTCAGGTATATTGAGATATAATTGATATACAAAAAACTGCAGATATTTAATGTATACAATTTGATGAGTTCGAACATACAGGTACACCTGTGATACCACCACCACAATCAAGGTAATAAACATATCCATCACCTCCAAAAGATTCCTTATGTTCCTTTGGTTTTCGGTTTTTTTGCGTGCTAACACTCAAAATGAGATCTACCCTCTTACCCAGTTTTTAAGCGCACAACAGCATACTGTTAGCTATAGGCACTATGTTGTGCAGCAGATCTCTAAAACTTATTCACCTTGTATAAGTGTAACTTCATATCCATTTAACAACTCCCTATTCCCCCCTTCCTCTATCCTCTAGCAACCACTATAATATTTTCTGCACCTACAAGTTTGACTATTTTAGATATCTCATATAAGTGGAATTCTACTGCATTCCTCCCTCTGTAACTGACTTATTTCAACTAGCATAGTATCTTCCAGGTCCATCCATGAGGCCACAAATGGTACAATTTCCTTCCCTTTTTAAGGCTGAATAATATTCCACTGTATATACCAGTTTCTCTATCCATTCATCTGCTGATGGACATTCGGGTTGTTTCCATGCCTTGGCTATTGTGAATAATGCTGCAATAAACATGGGCGTGCAGATAGCTCAGAGTTCAAACAATATTACAAAGCTGTAGTAACCCAAACAGTATGGTACTGGCATAAAAACAATACATGAAACAGATCAATGGAACAGAACAGAGAGCCCAGAAGTGAACCCACACATACATGATCAATTAACTGACAGCAAAGGGCCAAGAATATACAATAGGGGGAAAAAAAGTCTCTTCCATAAATGGTGTTTGGAAAACTGGACAGCCATATGCAAAAGAATGAAACTGGATCACTATCTTACACCATATACAAAAATTAACTCAAAATGGATTAAAGACTTCAACGTAAGATCTGAAACCATAAAACTCCTAGAAGAAAATGTAAGCAGTAAGCTCCTTGACATGAGTCTTAGAGATGATTTTTTTAATTTGACACCAAAAGCAAATGCATCAAAAAAGCAAAAACAAACAAGTAGGACTACATCAAACTACAAAGCTTCTGCATAGCAAAGGAAGCCAGCAACAAAATTAAAAGGCAACCTACAGAAGTGGAGAAAATATTTACAAATCAAATATCTGTATCTGATAAGGGATTAACATCCAAAATATATAAAGCAGTCATGCAACTCAATAGCAAAAAAACAAACCACCTGATTAAAAATTCAGCAGAGGAACTGAATAAACATTTTTCCAAAGAAGACATACAAGCGCCCAACAGGTACATGAAAAGGTGTTCCACATCACTAATCATCAAGGAAATGCAAATCAAAACCACAATGAGATATCACTTCACACCTGTTAGATTGGCTATCATCAAAAAGACAAGAGATAAGTGTTAGCAAGGATGTGGAGAAAAAGGAACCCTTTTGCAGTTGGTGGGAATGTAAACTGGTACAACCACTACGGAAAACAGTATGGACGTTCCTCAAAAAATTAAAAATAGAACTACCATACGATCCAGAAATCCCACGGCAGGATATATATCCAAAGGAAATTAAAACAAGATCTCAAAGAGATATCTGCATTCCCATGTTCACTGCAACATTATTCACAATAGTCAAGATACAGGAACAACCCACATGTCCATCAACAGATGAGTAGATAAAAGAACATGTGATACACACACACACAGGAATATTATTCAGCCATGAGACATAAAGAAATCCTGCTATTTGTGAAAAAAAATGGATAAACCTGGAGGACATTAGGCTAAGTGAAATTTATCAGACAGAAAAAGACAAATACTGCATGATATCACTTATATGTGGAATCTACAACAGCCAAACTGACACAGAGAGTAGAGTAGTGGTTACCATTGGCTGGAGGGGGTTGGGGAAATGGGAGATGCTGGTCAGAGGGTACAAAGTTCCAGTTATAAGATAAATAAGTTCTGGGAATCGAAGGTACAGCTTGGTGATTATAGTTAATACTACTGTATTATATACTTGAAAGTTGCTAAGAGAATAAATCTTAAATGATCTCACCACAAAAAAGAAATGGTAATTATGTGACGTGATGGAGGTGTCAGCTAATGCTATGGTAGTAATTATTTTGCAGTATATAAGTGTATCAAATCAACATGTTGAACATCTTAAACTTACACAATGTTATATGCCAATTATATCTCAAGCTGGAAACAAAAGTTTATCCCTAAGTAATTATTTTTTGATGCTATTATAAATGAGATTGTTCTCTTAATACCCTTTTCAGATAGTTCGTTGTTAGTATATAGAAATGCAAGTGATTCTTGAGTGTTGATTTTGTATGCTGCAACTTTACTGAATTTGTTGATTAGTTCTAAGTTTTTTAGTGGAGTCATTAGGGTTCGCTATATATAAAATCATATATCATCCACAAAAAGACAATTTTACTTCTTCCTTTCCCATCTGGATGCCTTTTATTTCTTTTTCTTGCCTAATTTCTCTGGCTAGGACTTCCAGTACTATGTTAAAGAGAAGTGTGCAGAGTGGGTATCCTTGTCTTGTTCCTGATCTCAGAGGACAAGCTTTGATTTTCACCATTGAGTATGATCTTAGCTGTGGGTTTGTCATAGATGGCCTTTACTATGTTGAGGTACACTCCTTTTATATCTAGTTTGTTGAGTGTTTTTATCATAAAAGGGTGTTGAACTTTGTTCAAATGCTTTTTCTGCATTTACTGAGATGATCATGAGATTTTTATCCTTCATTCTGATAATGTAGTGTATCATACTGACTAATTTTAGTATGTTGAACCATCCTTGCATCCCAGGGATAAATCACACTTGATCATGATGTACGATCATCTTAATGTGTTGTTGGATTGTTTGCTGGGATTTCATTGAGGATTTTTACATCTATGTTCATCAGATATATCGGACTGTAGTTTTCTTTTCTTGTAGTGTCTTTGTCTTTGGTATCAGAGTAATGGTGGCCTCATAAAGTGAATTTAGAAGTGTTCCCTCCTCTTCAATTTTTTGAAATAGTTTGAGAAGGATTGGTATTAATTCTCTTTAAATGTTTGGTAGAATTCACCTGTGAAGTCATCTGGTCCTGGACTTTCCTTTGTTGGGAGGTTTATGATTCAAACTCCTTACTCGTTACTGGTGTGTTCAGATTTTCTATTTCTTTATGACTCAGTCTTGGTAGGTTTGTATGTTTCTAGGAATTTCTTATAGGTTATCCAATTTGTTGGCATATAATTGTTTATAGTAGTCTCTTATGATCCTTTCATTTCTGTGGTATCAGTTGTAATGTCTCCTCTTTCATTTCTTATTTATTTCACTCTTCTCTTTTTGTTCGTTAGTCTAGCTACAAGTTTGTCAACTTTATCTTTACAACACCAACTCTTAGTTTCATTGATTTTTTCCTATTGTTTTTCTAGTCTCCATTTCATCTATTTTTGCTCTAATCTTTATTATTTCTTTCCTTCTGCTAACTTATATGTTGAAATTGAACAACACACTCCTGAACAACCAAATGGGTCAAAGAAGAAATCAAAAGGGAAATCAGAAATTATCTGGAGAAATGAAAATAAAAACACAACATACCAAAACATACGGGATGCAGCAAAAGCAGTACTAAGAAAGAAGTTTATAGCAATAAATGCTTACATTAAAAAGGAGGAAGGATCTCAAATAAACAATCTATAACTTTACACCTCAAGGAACTAGAAAAAGAACAAACTAACGATATTGTGGTTTCTCAGTATATGTCCATTAATACTCTTTCATGTTTCTGGTTTTGCATGTTCTATTCCCACTGTCTAGATTAGCACTGTCCAAAAGAAATGGAATGTGAGCCACAAATGCAAGCTATACATGTAATTTTAAATTTTCCCATAGTCACATTTTCAAAAAGAAACAGATGAATTTTATATTTTTTAACCAAATATACCTAAAACATTATCATTTCAACATATAATCAATCTTTTTATATTACTGATATATTTTATATTTTTTTGTGCTAAGTCTTTGAACTCAGCATGTATTGTACACTTATATCACAACTCTATTCGAACTAGCTGTGTTTCAAATGCTCAACAGTCACATACGCCTAATGGCTGCTGTACTGTGAAGGTCTAGATGTTCTTCCCCAAGCCTTGCTAGTAAATACTATGTACTCACTGAATGAAATGTTCAACCACACCTAACCTCTTACACTCTGTAGCAGTTACTCATCACCTCACCCTACACACAGCTATAATTCATTTATTTATTTATTCAACAGACACTGTTTCATCTTCAAGTGCAATTCATGAGATTTCTCTAAACTGGCTTTCCTGCCCTGAGTTCCAACTGTGTCTTCTGCTACTTTCACCACCACATTACCATTCCAATAGCACATATCTCTCACACACTGGAGTCAGGGAAGGGGGAAGGGGAGGAGTATTCTAAACTCATCTCATGGTGTGAACAATCTCATTTAATCTAAAATTACCCTTGAAAATCTCTTAAATAGGCCCCCACAAAAAAAACAGTGCATATGACCTTGTCTATACACAGCCCTGTAAAGTCTCATAAGAACTGAGAATAACCACGAGAATAACATGTTTACATATCCCATCTCATACCCACTTCACTTCAAAAGCTCATTTAGTAGAATGGCAGGTGAATTTGCTAGTGCTGCTGGAACCCCCCAAAATAACATACAGTAGTCCATTCTTATCCACATGGGATACATTCCAAGACCCCCAGTGGACGCCTGAAACGACAAATAGTACCAAACCCTATATATATACACACTATGCTTTTTCCTATGCATACATACTTATGATAAGGTTTAATTTATACATTAGGCACAATAAGAGATTAACAACTAATAAAAAATAGAACAATCATAACAATATACTGTAATAAAAGTTATATGAATGTGGTCTCTCTCTTTCAAAATATCTTATTGTACCGTACTTACCATTTGTCTTCTTGTGATGATGTGAGATAATATGCCTACATGGTGAGATGAAGTGAGGTGAATGACACAAGCATTGTGATGTAGCATTGGGCTACTATCAACCTTCTGACTGTATGTCAGATCCCCTGGTTGACTGAGAGGAACTGAAACCACGGAAAGTGAAACCATGGATAAGGGAGGACTACTGTGATAGAATTCATGTAACTCAAACACCTGTATGATGTAACTATCATTACTCCTGCCTCCTCCATTTATCATGGCAAACTCTCTACCTCAAATGTTCTATTCTCTTTTACAGAAGTTTTAACTATTCTATCCTTTAAGGACTTAACTATCCACTACCTCAGGTTGGAAGGCAGCACATAGAGTAAAAACAGTGTGAGTTGCAGATTCTAGTTTTGTTACCACCTATGACACTTTTAGCAACCTTCTGAATGAGAATATTATCTATACGCAGTCCTCATAGTTGTGAAGATTCAATGAGAAATTAAACTTAAGCACACAGAACAGTATTAATTCTATTCCCTTTAGCCACTTGCTCCAATAAGTCTTTAAAAATCTTTCCTCTGCAAGGCCAACCTGGTGGTGTAGTGGTTAAATTCGCATGCTCTGCTTCGGCGGCCTGGGGTTCACAGGTTTGGATCCCAGGCCAGCACCCATACACCGCTCATCAAGTCATGCTGTGACGGCATCCCATATACAAAATAGAGGAAGACTGGCACAGATGTTAGCTCAGAGCCAATCTTAGTCAAGCAAAAAGAGGAAGATTGGCAACAGATCTTAGCTCAGGACCAATCTTCGTCACCAAAAAAAACCATTCCTTTGATTCAGAGATCATTTTTTAACTAATGAGGAAAATCAGTATTTTTAGGTCACATCTCAATCAGTTCTCAATTAAAATTACATATGTCAGGAAAAAGTGTCAAATCAAAATTAACCACAGACATTCTCATTACCTGCACAAATTTGGGTGGAAATTTTTGTCTAAGGTCTAGGAGTAAAGCATCCACACGTTGTCTCTGGAAAATAGAGCTTGGTTCTTCTTTCCTTTTGGCTTTAGGTTTGACTTTATCTATTAAAATATGAAGTCCAAATTGAAACATTGCCTAATTAGTTTGGTGTCTTATATTTTTAAAAATCTTTTCCCACCAGGAATATACTCAAACTTCATTATTTTTAATGGCTGCTATTCCAAAAATTATCCCCCAAATAAGTTACACATAACATAGACACAGAAGTGTTCTAACTCTCCCTCTGAAATGAAGATTCTAACATTTAAAAAGCTGATAAGTCTTTTAAAGATACTTCAGTTTTAGTATATAAACATAAACAGACATAAGAATTTTAAGGCTAAAGTTTTCCACAATTACCTAAGTCATAATCCAGATTATTGGTCTCAAATTATCATGTGTATATTTTAAGTGTATTAAATGGTCTTTTCCCACACAGCTTAATAGGTGCAAATGGAAAATGCAACTTTCACAAACTCAAGTTACCATACTCAATTATGAAGACTATAACCCACTGAAAAAATAGGACCAACCAAACAACAGAAGATCACGAAGACAGGAAGAAAAGAACTCGCAAGAGAAATTCTGAGGCTAATCATGTGTAGAATTTTCCCTGGGAGAGGGGTGTATTGGAGAACTGTCCCTACATGAAGAGTTCCAGGCAAGCATTGCTCTAAACACTTCCTTAAGGTAGGGGCAAACAGCTCTTGGGAGAAGTTTACTCAACAGATGCAAACTTTCCTCCATCAAACGTTGTGGCCTGCACCTACTATCAAGAATATATAGAGCTGTATCTGAAAGACCATTCATTCCATGAATGAACTCTTTTTAAAGGCTACCTTTCCCTCAGTGATTTATTCTGAGTTGCTATTTCTCAGAGAAGGAAATGTAGGATATAGGTATAATGCTACAGAAAGATTTCTAGAAGTACTTTCATTGGTAAAATATGGTGCAGAACAAGCAGCAGATTAGCAGCTATGGAAACTAGGGAACCTGGCGTCACAACAGGTGATAACACGGAAAGATCAGAAAACAGACTGGTCATCTGGAGAGAGGGCTCTAAGAGCATCTCCCCTACTTTGAAGACTGAGGGGATTTGGGTTCCAGATTTCAAGATGACTCAACAGTCAGGTAAGCAGGAAACATCATCATTACTCATTCCTCATCACCAATTTCCTCTGTATGTTCCAAGTATTTTAAAACCTTGAATCAACCTATTACTAGTTACCTAACAGATTAAAATTTATATCTGTTCCTACGGGAAGCTATTATTACCACATCCAGTTACATGAATCATAGCTGTGACAATGTCATCATCCTATGAGAAGTCTTCCTACGGAAAAGTAAAACACACCTAGAAACTATCAATAGCCATTTTCCTAAAGAAAACAGCTTCATCCTCAGAGGGCCAAAAAGAGTTTTAGGAGGGTCTAGGTGTCCTACCTACCTTGCTCTTCATGATCTTTGAAGTGCCACCAATACCCTTTGGAAGGATGATATCGACAGTATGACATAGCTTCGTCGAAAGCTGACTGAATGCCATGCACTGCAGTAAGCTTGCAAAAAGAAAATCAACTCTGAATTTCTTATTAGGCCAACCAAAATTTCCAAAGTAAATACTCACAAAATATTACACATACAAAGACAGTAATTTTCTGTTTTTCAGAAACCAAATCACTATATAGCTGGGGCTGTGGTATATACTTTTAACATGGAGCTGGCCCACAGTAACCAATGCTCAAGACATGCCACTAGTCAACAGTTTATACCAACTTACACAAGAGAGAGGAGCTCCTGTTTATTTCTTAGAAGCAAGGTAGCTCAATTAAAAGTTTTATTTAGTGATTAAAGAATGTAAAGACCCTTACCACTCTAGAGTTTATAACTGATCCCAAGTCTGGTGCCTGATAGATCACTCCAGCAATGATATAGTAATCAGCCAGTGGGATAACTAAAGCAGCGCAAGAAAAAAAAAGTTTATGAATACAGCTTTGCACACAAACTGCCACGTAGATTTCCATAAAAAGAACAACTAAAATTTGACATTTTCCCATATTAGAGCTTAAGGCAGGGTTTGGTAATTCCTGTTTTTGTAAATAACGTTGTACTGGAAAACAGCCACACCCATTCATTTACATTATTATCTAAGGCTTCCATGGCACTAGTTGAGTAGTTGTCACAGAGACCATGAGGCCCACAAAGCCTAAAATATGTACTCGCCGGACCTTCACAGAAAAAGTTTGCTAACTCTTGCTCTAGGAGGAGTGCTTCTCAAACTTTAATGTGCCGTTAATGTACTGAATCACTGGAGTACCTTGTTAAAATCAGATTCTTACTCAGTAAGGCTAGTGCATTTCTAACAAGTACCCAAGTGATCCAATGCTGCTGTCAGTCAATGACACTTTGGGTAGTAAGACCTTAAAGCAAGAGAGATGTAGGGCCCAGGGTGAAGATATCAGATGCACTGAACCTGCCTCTGTGTCCCAGTCCTGGGTCCTAAGGAATAAAACAGCTGCTAGTGAGGCTGGTGCCATCCCGTGTAGCTTCTATACCCTGAACCCTCTCATCATGGAAATCTTGTCCTTGGTCTCGTCTTTGTTCTAAGGTTTTCTTTTCCTCTTGGCAGGAACTCTAGATCTTTGATTTTGAAACTAAATTTGGATTCTGGACTTGGGAACCACAACTTCTCGAGCAAGTCATTTTCTGAAATCAATATCAGGGTTAACTTGATGAGGATATCTAGTTAGGAGATGTAGCTGGTCATCTCTGGAACAAGTGACTAGCTCTTTGATTCAAAATCAAATCTGAGTTCTATATTCTTCAGTGTAATTTCAAAAGCAAGCTTTTGTTTAGTAATATAACTCAGGTAAGACTTTTGGTTGAATGTGTCAATGAGGATTTTCAATTTATCCTCTATAAATTTGAGCAACTGCATCTACCATGTATTTTGTAACAGAATTAGACTCAATGGACTGAGACGAGAAGAAAAGTTACTTGGGGTACTTGAGATTCAGTTGAAACCCCAACAACTATGCTCACGGGAAGAGATGGCTTCAATGAAGCGAACTGCTCTGTTACTGCTTGGACAGTCGTCCTTGGGCACACTGGAAGACTCTTGGCATCTAAGCATGCAACTAGGGGAACTTAGTTTTTGAAACATTTCATAAGTGATAAAGTTATGCCTGCTATATCAGCCTGCCTAAACAATTTGTACAAACAATATGATTACAGTCATGCGCAGCATAATGATGGTTTTGATCAACGACAGACCACATATACGACAGTGGTCCCATAAAATTAGTACCCTATAGCCTAGGTGCATAGGCTATACCATCCAGGTTTGTGTAAGTACACTCCGATTTCCGCACAACGAAGAAAACTGCCTAACAATGCATTTCTCAGAATGTATCCCCATCATTAAGCGATGCATGACTGTATGGTGAAAACCTGATTTCCTTCTGAGAGTCAGGAATTTTGGCAGGCAAGGATGTCTACAGGATTAGCCCTCAATAAAAATTCTGGACTCAGAGTCTCAACTGGGCTTCTCTGAGCAGACACATTACACTTGCGGGGCTGCATTTCACTGCTGGAGGGAGGGTGCACTTGGTGTGACCCTTTGCAGGAGGGAAAGCATAGGAAGCTTACACATATGGATTCCTAGAGATCCCACTTCATATGGCTTTTTCCCTTTTTGATCTGGCTTGGTATCCTTACTGTGTTGCCATAATAGATCTTAGAGTACAACTAACTATATGCTGAGTCTGCTGAGTCCTCCCAGCAAAACACTGAACATGTATGTATGTCGGTCTTAGGGATCTGCAAAACAGAACCTAATCCCAAAAAACAAGAACATATAACTCAGGAAGTAAATAAATCATGGTATCCTAAGAAGAAAATAATGCCTGAAGTTTACACATTTTACCTTGGGTAGGGGACTGCCGCTGTTGCTTCCGAATGATAAAAAGGATGGGCTCTTGCGCATGTAAAAGGATGTATTCCACTCCAACCATCTGACTGAAAATAGAACACAGACATTCAAATATCTATGAACACCCTACAAATAATTTTGCAGAACATTCAAATTATTATACAAAAGTATAGCAACACTGTAAACAGGATTAAAATTGCCTATGTTAGATATTAAAAACTGGCTGTTCAATAAAACTGGCTATTTTCCCAAGTAGGTGGAATACAGATAAAGTAAAATTTGGTTTTTAAACAACAACAAAATTTCTCTACAGACGTTCATGAACTTAAATCTGAGTATTTTCAGTCATGAAAGTACACTGAAGAGCGTACATTTCCAAAAAGGCAACCAAAATATCATGATGCTTCCTGATCAAAGAGATCTATAAATCTATATAAAATATAAAAATATACATGAAGACTATACAGGCCTTGACTATACATGTCAACTATACATTCTACCCAACCAGAAAACATCAAAAACCTTATCCTCATCCCCAACAAATTTTTTGACCTGACAGATTACATTTAAAAGCGACAATAAGTTGTCTTACCAGTTGTAAATATGTGCCTCATAACAAAAGCTATTTAAAATACCATAGAAATTTAATTTCATGAACCCCCTCCAATGTTTAGCTAACAGATGAAAAACTACATTACACAGTTGTTTCAGAAACTTTTGAAATAGTAATAAATTCTTAATTATTTAGCATCCTAACTCTGAAGAAGCTTGCTTTGCACTATTTGACTAAAAGTTTTGTTTCCTTTATTAGTCATACAAAGTCAAATCTACTATAAACCAGACTATGGTTTAAGACACTAAATTAGATGTAGAGGAGACAATAAGTATAGTTACCTGGTTAAGGATAACAGTTGCATTGTTAAAATCACTCATCACATCTACACCTAAACCTCACAGTTGTATTTTAACTGGACAATAATATATGAAGTTATACAGAAAAGACTTCCTAGGTTACAAGTGACTACTAATAATTCCTTTGCATGTCAAATTGGTAGAAACCCAAACAAAACTCCAGTTCTTCCAAAACGTCTGCTCTGTACTTCACAATCCACAGCTTGAAAGAACCTTTCATTGTAAAATCTCTAGCTGGCAAAGATGCTATCTTCTTAGAGTAACTTACTTTAAGTGTTCTAATGTTAGCCTCTGCATTTTGACCACTTCATTATTACATGTCCTGTCATAAAAAGGATTACTTCTTTCTGAAAAGTAATCCAGGACACTTCCACTGTTCAAAATGGGGATCCAGGAACTGTCAACCCAAGAGATTCCCAACAGATTATCTATAGGAAAGAAACAAAATGATAAAGGATGAGAAAAGAGAAAAAAAATCCAATCCAACAAACATTTATTATGCATCTAATGTTGCAGACACTATGAATATAAGGGTGACATGGATCCCAACCTCTATACTCTCACAGCCTAACAGAAGAGATAAATATGCAAGAAAGTAATAACACACAACATAATAGTGCTGTAATCAAGGTATGAATAAACGTGTTACAAGAGCACAGTGGTGGGAACAGAATACCTTACCTGAGGAAACAGTAATGATTTTTCATGGGGTGAGGAGGAGGAGGGTTTTAGCCCTCTGTTAAAGAATAAATAAATTTTCACCATGGAGAAAAGAGGGGCAAAGTAATTCCAAGCAGAGAGAATGCATATACAAAGGTAGGGAAATATAAAAGTATATTATATGTTTAGATGGGCCAGCCCCGTGGCTTAGCGGTTAAGTGCGTGCGCTCCGCTACTGGCGGCCCGGGTTCGTATCCCGGGCGCGCACCGACGCACTGCTTCTCTGGCCATGCTGAGGCCGCATCCCACATACAGCAACTAGAAGGACGTGCCACTATGACGTACAACTATCTACTGGGGCTTTGGGGGGCGGAGGGGGAAGGAGGATTGGCAATAGACGTTAGCTCAGAGCCGGTATTCCTCAGCAAAAAGAGGAGGATTAGCACGGATGTTAGCTCAGGGCTGATCTTCCTCACACAAAAAAAAGAAAAAAATAAATAAATAAAAGTATATTATATGTTTAGAGAATAATTTGATTAGGTGAAGAAGTGATAGGATTTGGAATCTGGAGAGGTCTTTCAAAAAACTGGAAATCCTGAGTTTTTATATGTTGGCAACTAATTAAAAAATTTTCAAACACATGCTTGCCAAAGAAAACACATCTACAGCCAGAAGTTTGAGGCCTCCCAATTAGGAACGGAGAAATAAGTTAGGAAGCTGTTATTATAAATGAGATAATAATGATGTAAAAGTTTTGGGGCAAATGAGAATTAGAATGCCCTTAATTACAGCCATACAATTTCACATTCTAAAGTAAACTTAATTCTTAAATTTTTAAAAATGCAAAAAGAAAAAAAAGACATGGTAAATAGAGCTAGATAGTTTTAATTAATGAGCTTTTATTGGCTACTGGCTGCAATGATGTTTCATTCCACTGACTGAACTACATCCCACTAGGTATAAGTCATGACATCAAAAGGCCTATATAATACCGGTTGAAGGAGGAAGAACTGAAAACCTCAACCTCTTCTAAACTGTAATTGCTTCTGGCATCTTTGAGAAAGTCAGACCTAATCCAAAGTGACAAGCAGTTCTGAGCGAAATGAATTAAATGAGAAAAAAGTACGTAAAGAAAGGTAAAACGTGGTATGTGCATTATAAAATAAAGGAGGAAACAAACAGATGAAGTATGTTAATGACCAAATAATTACTACAGTCCATTAAGATGGTTCATCACAAACGGATCATGCCATAACCAAATGTCTAACAGGCCAGGAAATAACATTTACAGAAAAAGACAGAAAAGCAACTAAGGATAATCATTATTCTCAGCTTTAAACACTACAGTCCAGTTATTAAAGTAGTTTTGTTTAAAGCAACTTTCTTACACATTTCTTTTTTATTTCCTTAGGAATCATTACATAAAAGCATTTGTAGAAGGACAACTTTAGGTTTGTTTCTCACTTAGTGGAAACTATGTCTATACAGTGTCATAATAAGCTATTAACAATAAAATGTTATAATATTATAGATCATTTCAGCATAGGTAGAGGAAAAATCTGTGGAAACAAATAAATGTATAATTATAGATCCTACCTACCAACGATTATGGTGAGTCAATAGATATGGGCGTGAGGTGATGAGGACCTGGTAGAAGGCAACGGCAATGCATACAAAGTAAAGGACAACAGAGACATTTTTAGGGGAAAAAGAGACAATTTCCTGAATGACCATCTATCAAGTCAGAGATCTTAAGAACCAACAACTCATTGAGGGAAGTAATAATAAGGAATTTGGCTTGGATACACTAAACATGGAATCAGACTCTCAAAATTAGAAGGAATTATAAATGTCATCTGCTCCAAGTGACTTCAGTAAATTCTCCCTATAATTTTATTCACCAAGCTGTTTCTTGATCAGCAGTTATATGTCACATTTTTCTCATTTAGTAAACTAGTCAAAGATGAAAAGTAGGGCCCGGGTTCGCATCCCAGGCGTGCATCCACAGGCCGCTTCTCTAGCCATGCTGAGGCCGCATCCCACATACAGCAACTAGAAGGACGTGCAGCTATGACATACAACTATCTACTGGGGCTTTGGGGGGAAAATAAATAAATAAATAAAATTAAAGATGAAAAGTAAGGCGAGCATGACCTGTGAGACCAATGCAAATGGAGAGAATACTATTTATCACTTTTGAACACTGACTTTGTTCCAAGCGCTGTTCTAACCTTTTTACCACACAATAACTCAAGGAGGCTGGTATTATTATTATTACTACTTTACAGAAGGAGAACTTGAAACATGGGAAGGCTAAATAACTTGACAAGGTCACAGAGCTACTAAATGGTAGAGTTGAGATGTAAATCCAGGCAGCCCAGCTCCACAGCCTACACTCCTCTACACTATGCTGCCTCAAGTTGAAAACACCCAGTAAAGAGCGATATTAAGAACCTGTTTTGTTTACCATGTCTACTGAGGCATGGGAAAAAAAAAATAAACAAATGGGACTACCTCAGACCAAAGAGCTTTCCTTTCCTGCAAGGCAAAGGAAACCACGAACAAAATGAAAAGAAAACCCACCAACTGGGAGAAAATATTTGCAAATCATATTTGCAAATTAATTTCCCAAATCTATAAAGAACTCATACAACTCAACAACAAAAAAACAAACAACCTGATCAAAAAATGGACAGAGGATATGAACATTTTCCCAAAGAAGATATATAGATGGCCAACAGACACATGAAAAGATGTTCAACATCACTAATTATTAGGGAAACGTAAATCAAAACTACAATGAGATATGACCTTACACCTGTCAGAATGGCTATAACTACCAAGACAAAAAAATAACAAAGGTTAGCGAGGATGTGGAGAAAAGGGAACCCTCATATACTGCTGGTGGGAATGCAAACTGGTGCAGCCACTATAGAAAACAGCATGGAGATTTCCCAAAAATTTAAAAAAATAAAAACCATATGATCCAGCTATCCCACTACTGGGTATTTATCCAAAGAACTTGAAATCAACAATTCAAAGAGATTTATGCACCCCTATGTTCACTGCAGCATTATTCACAATAGCCAAGATGTGGAAGCAACCCAAGTGCCCATCAACTGATAAATGGATAAAGAAGATATATAATGGAATACTACTCAGCCATAAAAACGACAAATCGTTCCATTTGCAACAACATGGATGGACCTTGAGGGTATTATGTTAAGCGAAATAAGCCAGACAGAGAAAGACAAACACTGCATGATTTCACTCATATGTGGAAGATAAACAAACACATGGACAAAGAGAACAGATTAGTGGTTACCAAGGGGAAGGAGGTTGGGGGTGGGCAAAAGGGGTAAAGGGGCACATATATATGGTGATGAATAAAATTAGACTACTGGTGGTGAGCACTATGTAGTCTTTACAGAAACTGATAATAATGTATACCTGAAATTACACAATGTTATAAACCACTATGACCTCAATATAATAATTTAAAAATAATAATAAAAAAACTAAGTTAAAAGAAAAAACCTTGCAAGAAAAGCCACGGCTGATACTATAAATTGTGGAGACCACCTGTAGAACAATCAGTGCTGTCCGAGAGAGGATCTAGTCTAATCAAATACATTTCCTCTTCTCCATCCCTACTGCCACTATCTTATTAATCTTTTTCCAAGTGTCACCTGGACAACAGCCTCCTTACCGGGCTCCATCTCCAGTTCTTCTCTCAATCCTATTCAGCCTTAAAAATGCTACTCATACATTTTTAAGTGAGAGTTGTCACACTGTGTCACGCTACTCTATGCAAAATACAAATCTGATTATGTCACTTCTTACTTAAAGAATGGCAATGTATACCTATTGTCTAAAAGAAGAAGCTTCAAATTCCTTAACGTGGCATTTCACAATCTAGCTCCACTACTCCCACTTCACCGCCCACAATTCACCACCACAGCAGAATGGCACAAGGAAAAGTATATTGACAATTATGGGACTTCAGACAAGTTAATCTCCCCATGGCTTAGTTTCCTCATCTATAAAATGGGGATTACAATAATACCTACATGCCAGATTATGTATATAAAATGCTTAGCACACTGTAATAACCCAATAAATGTTAATCATGATGATGATGGTGGTAGTGCTGGTAGCCAATTTAAGATTACGATAACCAAACTTATTTCTGGCTTAATCAAGGGTGTCCTAGTTTGTGCTTCTTTTTTTTTTTCCCGTTTGTGCCTCTTTTTTAATAGAGACCCTTTTCATTCTCAAGAGTATGAGTTTAGTAGATAATTTAAATGGTGATGCTAGGTTAAAATTTCACATGTCAATATCTCTGCAAAGCCTTTCTCTACTTTGCAAGACAAAAATAATTGCTTCTTTCTCTAGTTCTCAGCAGTTTTTATATACTTTCATTAATACTCATCGTATCATAATCCAGAAATACAAATGTGTTCCCATTAAATTGTGAGTTTTTAGAGAATGGGGGCTGTGTCTTACTCATCAGGAATTAGCACAGGACCTGATTTGCAATAGTTAGCAAATGTTTATTAATTCACGACTGAGGGCCAAGGACAAGTTACTCTTCTGGTCGTAGATTTACTTATACTCCAGTATCCAAGGATGTTCATTTACAAAACAGTTAACTGGGATTAAGAGGGTGGTATGTGGCTGTGAAATACAATACAATTATCTGTCCCACCTGGAGACCACCCATGACCACAGCCCCATAAAGAGAACACACTACCAAGTCAAGCAGACTCAAACCACTTACCATCTCCCCTGTTATCACTCTAGTCCAAGCTACCCCCAAACCTCCATGCATTACAGAAATGGCCTCCTAACTGGTCTCCCTAATTCCACCCTTGCCCTCCTACACTGTTCTCGCCAGCCAAGGTGATCCTAAAAAACAGTAAGTCAGATTTTCTTCATCTCCTCTGACCAAAACCCTCTAGTGGCTATTTTACTCAGAAGAAAAGCCCAAGACCTTACCACGGCCTACAATCCCTATATGATCAAGCCACCAATTATCTCTCTGACCTCATCTCCTTCCCACAACCTCTCTCACTCTGCTTCAGCCATACTGGCCTCCTTGCTGTTTCTCTAACACACCAGACACACTCCCACCTTAAAGCTTTTGCAACAACCCTAAGAAATCTAAACAAAAACATTATGAAACCTAAATATTTGAAAACAGTCTGACCAACTACATGTTTCTCTTTTTTATTCAGAACAAGGAAGCATGTTGACATAGCCCAAATACAGCTCTCTAACAATCAGCAAGTGATGAAATTAGGCACTTGCAACTCTCACTTATAATGAAAGATACACATGTAAAAACATTATCCAGAAATGCTGAAGATCACTGGATATTCCAAGTAACTATAAATGAGAAGATATTTGTAATGAGTGTGCTAGACTCCAATTTGGTTAATACAGAAAAAGAAAACACTTTCCTTTAAAAATCAAGTATATACAAACAAAAACAACCCTATGCAGAAGTGATGAGAAACATATTATAGTTAAACATCTTTTGAGGAAAGCTCTTTTTCTTTAATCTGATGTAGGTGAGAAGCTTAAATTTAACCATGAATCTCAGCTAGCATCTAGGTACAAAAATTCACACTTGCTCTAAGAAAAAGTACCACAAAATTTCAAATGGAAATAAATCTACACTGAGAGTTTCATACAGGTGTAGAAGTTTTGTGGGAGCCAATACAGTAGTAAAAGATAAAGATATTCGCGGGAACAAATCAAGTTTTCCTGGGAACTTCCATGATACCTCCTCCCAACCTGGAGGAACCTGGTCTGTTTGGAACTAAGTTCTCATGCTTCAGGTATTTTTTAGTCACCCTTCCGTTCACTCTTGGGAAACCCAGAGCACAATTCCAGGCCTTTTTTTATTACAAATTCACCGAAACGGATATATGTACGTGTGCTGATAAGATGTATGGCCCAATACTACCAGAGATCAAGCAGCAATTAAAGAATTGCGTCTCTATATATTTATTCACTGATTCAACAAATATTTGAGTACCTTTACAGTTTGGCTGTGAAAAAGAAAGGACCCTTGCCCTCAGTAATTATTGGGAGCTCGACAGAAAGTATTATAGACTCCAAAATAAAACTCACAGAAAAAGATCTTAGGGATTCATGCCCAGGGACGCGCGGTGCGCGATGTCAGAAATAAACAAGGCAGCCCTCACGCCACGTCCTAGGAGATGAACCCAATCGTGTCCGCTCATTACCCCACTCCCCTCTCTGCCCAAAGACCGTTCCTTCACCCGAAAACAAGTGTCCCAATACTGTTGGAGAGACACGCGTGCCGAACAATACTGCAGGTCCGAGGGCTCAAAGTACCCACGGCTTCTTCCGGCCCTTTCGTTTCGACGCTTCTAGGAGACCCCTGCGGAACTGGGAAAAAAGAGGCAACTTTTCCCCAGACTAGAATCTTGGGTCGTCCACAAAAACCACTCATAAGAGCTTTGGAGGCATCACAAGCGAACGTGAACCTTTCCCCCGCGAGCTACAGACCCCAAAGCAGACCCCAGACAATCAGGAACAGACCGTAACCAACACAGCTTACCTCGCACATCTACCGCCGCCATAACTCCAAAGGCGTTCGCGGATTCTTCTTCCGGCGCAGAGTAAACGTAACAACTACGGCGACGGAAGCAGCGGATTGCAGACGGTAGGGATAGTGAGAAGGAACGCAGAGAGGGAAGGAGACTGCCAGGGAAGGGGAGGTGCTGGGGAGGACAGGGGCGGAGCTAGGAGATGGAGGGGCGGGGCTGGGAGGTGG